GGTATGTTTAAAAGTTTTCGATTTGTTTGCTTTAGTAAATGAATTCTTGTGTTTATAGCTCTACAGCTTCAGTATTATTTTGTTTGTGTATCTAGTTGAGCATTTGTGTGTGTGTGTGTGTGTGTGTGTGTGTGTGTGCGCGCGCAAGGCTCGACGGGTGCATGTGTGTGGAGGTCGAACAGTCCCAATAAAGTGAGTCACATGGCTCAGCACACTGTAGCTGAGGGTTTTTTCTGTCTTCATTTCTGTCTAACTCGCTCGCCCTTCTCCCATCAAAACCTTTTTTTTTTGTCTTTACACGTGCCTGAGCCTCTGTCTCTGCCTGATCTTTGTGGGACGTATACTGAGGCACACGTGTCTGTGGGATCCTTCAGGAGAAGAGCAACACCTGACAGGGAAACTATAGAGGAAATTCCACAGGCTCACATGGAGCTAGTGAGCCCAGTGTTAACACTAAGAGGGATCCTCCACCTCTCTGAGCTCTGAGAGGGCACCAGAACTTGTGTGGGTAAGAAAAGGAAGTACACTGGGCTTTAGGGAGTAATAATAAGACAGGGGGAGATGTGAGGATTGGAACAAAGGGAAAAGCATGAAGATTAGAAGTGGAGGACAGGCAAGGACAAGACGGGTGGATGAAAGGAAAGGAAGGGGAGATGAAAAGAAAGACAGACAGGGATGCAGAGGGCCCGAGGGAGAACCTATCTCAGCCAGAAGGGGCAGTTTAGTTTACATTAGCTCATACATTAGCCATCCACCCCCTTATTTGAAGACTCATGTGGAATATGAAATGCAAAGAGTGCATGCCACAGATTGTGATCCCTCTCCCAGGACGACTTTCTGTCCATCTGTGATGTGTTGATGTATGGGACTGTGGTGTGTCACGTTCAGAGAGGCACTACAGTGTTTAAGAGCACTCTGACCCAAAAGACTGATGGGAGCCAGCTGCTGAACCAAGACGAACACTGTTGTTTGTTTTAAAGTAGAAGACGACAAGGAGTCAGCTCACTAATTAAAGGTTCCGGTACAATCCATGATCTAAATGATCATCTTGTGATTAAAAGCCTACACTGCCTTCAAAAGTCGTCTGTGTTGCTGTGTACACAAGCTTCTGCATCTCAGACTTTTGCTGCTGAACTGTGACCTTTTGTTGTGCAAGAAATTGTTAACTTGTTTGTCTTCTGGATTTTGGGGGGGGGGGGGGGGGGGGGGGGTAATGAAGTCAGAGGGTCTTCACTCATAAAAGAGAGAGAGATTATCTGCATTAACTTACTTCTTGTCGATCTACCAAAGTACACATTATGATTGTGCTTTGCATGGTAAAAGTTATTAATATATTATTATTATTTATGCTCTAAATAACCCTGATCACGTTTTATCTGATATTACAGAATACATACACTTATATTTCCATCTTTACTACAAAGAGCACCGTCCTGTACTGCCTTATCTTTGAATGATGTTCAATGCTAGCCTGTTTATAGGAAAATTAACAGTAAAATAAGATGTAGATTAATTTTTTGAGGTGGAAGTACTTTTTCTTAATTCTGAGTCATGCAAATCTTCCTCTGTCAGAAGTCAGAGGACACTGTTTAGATCATCTCCAGTGGAAGTTACGTCCTTGACTATACACAATATGTGATAAACTAGTAAAAGCATGGCCCTTCAGTATGCAAGGTGACACAGTTGAGACTGAGTTGAAAATGGAGATTTGTATTAGCCCTCGTTTTGTCCCCTTTCAAATTTGTCAAATCAAGCTAAATTTTTCTAAAACTCTTTCATTGCAATTTACTTTTACAGTGTTTTCAAGTTTATGTACCTCCATAGGCCTCCACAGGACAACTTTCACTTTAGAATGAGAATCAGAAATACTTTATTGATCCCCAAAGGGAAATTCTGTGTTGCAAACATTGCATAAGGGAAAGGAAAATAATAAAGATAGTGGTATATAGAGAAGTATATATAATATATATAATATAAATATCAGAGTAAAAAAAATTTAATAAAATAATATAAGGAGTATGGATATGTACAATATTTACATAGTTAAAGGAATTGTTATGATACAATATTTACATAATTAAGTAATTGTTATGGTGAACATTAATAAGGAATAAATAGTAGCAGCAGAGTATCGCACTATAATTTAAGCAGGTGTTATTGCACAAAACAAATAATATTGTCCAGTTTAAAACTAACTAAGTGTCAGAATAAGAATCAAAAATCCACTTCTCTGCTGTCTGGTCTGTATGCTCAGTATAATCAGTCATCATAAGGAGAGCCAGAAGCCTAGGGTGTGTTATATATATATATGTATATATGTGTCCTTAGGATTCCCTGCAGGTGAGCTCACCGTACTATTTAAAGCGTTACGACTTACGTAACAGTCTGACCAGACTCAACTTCAAATGATAAATCCTGATATATTTTATGGTCAAGTGGGCAAAAGACCTTAGTGGTGACCTCAGCAGTGACATCATTGGTAGGGGGGTCATAGCTTCCTGAATGTTATCCTTCACCAGGCATGACAAGGCCTGAATCATGGGTAAGTCCTGGTTGTGAGGTGAGAGGTCACAATATATCACAAAGTCTGTGTTTACCGTTTTTGTATCAAGGAGAGCTGCCTCTGTGGCTGGGGCAAGGTAAGAGGGAACCTGAAAATGCCATCCAGAAGGAGCACAAAAGTGAACACAAGATTTGAAATATAAGCCGGTGTCTGCTTTAAAGTTCCCACCTTGTAACCTTATATAATTGAGTGTTACAATATAATACTTAACGTTATCTAGATTTCAATTACTTATCTGCAAGCTGAGTAAATTGTTTTCCTCTGGTCTCTCCTATGAATGAGGAGAAACACGCCGGTAAAGGCTGCAAAATAAATAGGCATTATCGCACAATGCTGGATGAAAATATACCCAGGAGTAACAGCCCTTAAAGTCAGTTATATAAGCCTTCAAAATCTTCTGAGTCTCCCCAGCTTGATGTATTTAGGGCTGATGATTGCTTTCAGTTGCACAGCCTTACTGGGAGAGCAAGGCCAAACAGAAACTCTCGCATTTTTCCCTTACTAAAACCCATCCTTGCTGAATTAAGGGAACTCTTACAGACGCACACACATCTGTGGTATGGCGGGGGGGGGGGGGGGGGGGGGGGGGGCGGCGGTTGATGGTGGTGGTGAGGAATGTCAGCATCTTTGTTAGGGATATTTTCTGTTTTATGGATGTTTTCTTGGAGATGCCAGTGAGTGCTGTGGTGAGAGCACTGGGCTCCAGTCCCAGCCTCTCTACCTCATGTCTGTCCACGTGGGCAGGAGATACCAAACCAGACATAGTTCCTAATCTAGTCACCGCAACTTAATAAAAACACAGTATGGTTTTGTTTTCTTTGTGTTATTCTCAGTTTCTTTTTGTTCCTACAGTACTCGTGTTTATGACTCTACTCTTGTTTATAAGTCCTGCTCTCATGACAGGATGCTGGTATCTGGTTGCTCTATAAATAACCACAGTAGAAGTCATGTTTTTCTTCTCTATTAGAAGTATAAAGTATATTATTACACGGTACAACACTGATCATGTAATTGCTTTGTAAGCAAACTCTACTGACATGTGAGGGTGAAAGCAGAGGAAATTATGTGGTAAAAGAGAGGCATGATTGATAATAAATTACCTCTCTGAGGTTGATCTGTCTACTAAAGTGTGGGCTGCAGTTTTTGGCTGGACTGAGCCATGTTTCACAAAGACTACTGCCTGGTAGAGTGGATGCTCTGCCCTGAAAAAAAACAACAGATGAGAGATGAAGGTGTGTGTGGCAGATGTACAGTTATAAACTGACAGGATGTTTATCAGGAATACTGTTGGGTGACCCCAATCCCCCATAACCACTCCATAACAGACCAGTGGTGATGTGGTTAAATTACATTACACTCTGGTGGCCTCCCTGTCAGGCTGAATGTAATGGGTTATGGTAGACTGCTAAACATCTAATCAACCTAATATTAATCTACTGCCCAGTTATTCTAAGGTAACAAAACTAGCTTGTTGGATGCTTTCATTCTTTCAAATCTTCTCCTACATGATCTGAACAGAATAGTTTGACATTTTAGGAAATTAGCTTTTTTCTCAGTTAGATGAGAAGATTTACCATTCTCAGGCGTAGGCCCATATGGTAAATGAAGCTAGGCCTACTGCTAGCAGCTGGTTAGCTTATCTTAGCTTAGTTTAGAGCAGACATGTGGAAACAGCTAGCCTGGCTCTCTCTGAAGGTCAGAAAATCCCAACTGCCAGCTCACTGATAAACATTATTTATTGTATAATCCATACAAAAACTGAAATACTGAAATATAAAAATGACAAATAACAGGGTTATTCCTGGAGTATCCACTGGGTGCCTAGGTAACCTAACAGAAATAGCATAGGCTAGCTCCAAGAAATAGTAATAATAATTCCACAACATGTTATTTTGCACAAATCATGGATTAATTTGTGAACTTTAGAGCCCTTGGTAGGTGACCTTCTGACAGAGCCAGGCTAGCCGTTTCCAGTCTTTACGCTAAGCTAAGCGTCTCCTATAACTTCATATCCATATTTTATTAGTGTAACAATATTCTTATCTAACTCTGAGCAAGAAAGCGAATAAACATTTTCCCAACTAAGCCTACTCCTTTAAGTCAGGGGCATCTGAATTAACATTCTCTTGTCTTTTGTCATGTTGACTGAGTGAGAGTGAGGTGATAATGGCCTACATGCTACTGTTTCCTGAAAACAACCAAGCCCCACACTGAGAGGTGCAAATGATCATTAAGAGACGCGTGTGGTGAATACACATATAGGATACCAAGGAAATCCTCTTTTGCATAGCCTATCAGTCAGGTGTTCAACGGCAAGGCAAGCTTCACTTCTGTTTGCACGGGTGGAGGAAGGAGGGCGGAAAGGAGGGGTTGTTCCTCCTTGACCCCGCCTACTCACCACTCAGGCGAAGAAAAAAAAACTTGACCAGCCCCCTTTCCATTCCCATGGATTGTATTACTGGAGACTCCAGCTCCGAGACATCTGCTCCGCTACTAACAACGGAGCGCGTCCCCGCGTCGGTCCTGCTCCCGTGGTGCCCCATCCTCCTCCTCCTGCCCTCGTCCCCAGACTTGTGATCTCTCCGTTATCAGTGTTAACGCGGTGATCATGAGGAGCCACAGTGCATGTGCCCTCCGCGGTTTCCGGCGGTAGTTCACCAAAGCAAAGCGCGTCCCTTTCTTCACCATCCCTCCCGTGCGCCCGAGAGGCAGCGAGTTGCGGCGGCGGAGCGAGCAGCAACCCCCGGTGCCATCGAGCAGCACATTTCTTTTTGTCTGTGGGCTCCGCAGGCTGCTGGCTGCTGGCTTTGCGGCTTCGCATCCTCTCGCTGCTGGCTACGTTATTTGTAGGAGAGGACGAGGAAGGGCGGATGAAAAAAACACAAGATCTCCTCGTCTGATGTATGAAAGCGCTTCAACAGTCGGATATTTAATCAGATTTTGTTTTGTCTCTCTGCGAGCTTTTTGTTTTTGTTTGTTTTTGAAACCATGGAGTCGGTGGAGAAGGAGTGTGGAGCGCTGGGTGGATTATTCCAGGCCATCGTGAACGACATGAAGGTAACACACGTGTAAATTAAAGTAGAAAATGATTATTATATGACCTCTGTGGCTGCACGGTGGCAGATCAGACGAATATTTTTACTGCCTTTGTCTCTTTCACCGGGTCCTCCCCCACTTGAAACACCGCTGCAGGACAAATTGAGAGATCAAACATGTATTCCCTTTGTGTTATTTGCATAATGTGCAGCAGGTCTGTCAGGCGCGGGTTACATTTAACAATTCTTCAGCCAGTGTGTGTCAGGCTGTGTCCCATTCAATAACTGCTTGCATGGAAGTATTAGAATTTTTTTTTTTTAATTTTGTTACTTGGTGGTGCCTGTATGTGTTTGGTTCAAGGGTCAAAACCAAACCCCGTCTCAATTAGAATCAAATAAACCAAGTAAGCATTTCATTTTCTGAATAACAAAAGCAAAGGATAAGAGCTATCAAAACTGGAAGTTAATTTACATTTTTTTTGCAGTCATCACAGTAGAAATGTTCTGCTGTGACATTTGACCAAACAACTGTTTCTCCCGCATCCCAGCCTCCAAGGTTTTCTAGATTAAATGTCAGACACAGAAGGATGCTCTGAAAGAAAATGACCAGCTCCATTGCCTCAACCTCCTGGACAGAAACAGGCATGAAACGTTATTGATTGTGCTTCCTGATGTTTGGCCTTGTGGCAGGAAATCTTTACTTTACCAAAATGTAGTTCAATACACATTTGGTCCAGACCTTACTTTAGTAATTGAACTGACTCACGTTGCATCTCACTTGTACATGGGTTCTCCACATCTCAAGATAGTTTAAAATTATATCTTAAGCCAGAACTAGATGTCCCCCATTATCTATTACGCAAGTGTGTATATATGTGTGTGTGTGTTGTGTGTGTGTGTGTGTTGGGGGAGGGGACAAGTGAAGGTAGTTGAACCAGGGTGGTCTGTTGTTCGCTACAACAGATGGAAAGTGTGAACATATTCATCAGGCCTGGTGGCAGCTCCTAGTCTTCTCATTGTGGAGGATGCTCATGCTACAAAATGTTAATAGGAGCGAACAAGTCGAGCATCAGGCAGCAGTTTCCACCTAACATATTTCTTATTGATCACTGACTCACAGGGCCATGGTGCCTTCGGAGAGACTATTTATGGGCCCTCGTTTGTCAGGCTCCAATGAAGTCAGCTCTCAGCTATTGGCAGCGCTGGTTTGGTGTAATATATTTCCCCTTTTGTGATGTGCTCATGCCAGTGCCAGGCAGATAAAGAGGCAGTCTGTGTATTGATAAGCAGCACAGATGAATGAGACTGAAGCCCTTAGTCAGCACAGCGCCAATGTCCACTGTCTGAGACGCACATCTGACCTCATTCCTGCCGCCTGGCTGGCCCACGCTAGCCTGTCAGACCAGCTCGCCCCCCCACCCCGGGAGCGACGCCGCAGCACGGCTTTCCTGTGCTGATCTTGCTGATTGTGAACAATGTTACAGTATAGCTCACAGTTACGTACACGATACCCATACAGTGCACTTGGAGAACTTAAAAGGCCTGTTATAGGCCACACAGACAAAATGTGTTGATACAAGCAGCATCGCTTGGTTATATAACAGCACGAAAAGAAGTAAACGAGTAGGAGGTGGTAGAAGCGGAAGTAGGGGGTGAAAAGAAATAAAATGAATTTAAGAATTAGGTCAGCAATGGGTGTGAATGTGATGTGATTCCTTCTTGTATGTGGGAAAGCAACCACCTTCTAAAAATGGCCCCAAGCAACACTGCCTACCAGCTCCAAGGATGATAGTTTTGACCTCACCCTAGTGAACGACGAGGCGCGGGAGGAAGAGCATCCCTCGCCTTCCCCTCCCTGTATTTGTCTCCCCTTACCTCCCTCGGCGCTGCTCTGTATGTAGCCCTCTTTGCCCGCTTCTTCACCCTCCTCCCTCAGCTGTCTTGGCAGCGCATCCCTCCTGCCTCTGGGAGTCACAAGCCACACAAGCTAATTAGACACCTGTTGGAGTCAAGTGCAGACAGCGAGGCGGGGAGGTTCACGGCAAACATTTTTGTTAAGGTTGATGGCTCCTTACTCAAGGCAGAGGCTTTATCCGATAGAGGCCGGGAGTTAAACACTGTTATACCAGAAACAACAAAGAGCAAGACTGTTTCCAGATTGCGTCCTGACTATATATAGTCAGAACGTGTGGCCTCTTTTGGCTCCTCTCCTTCAAAGAGGCACATAGGGGTTATGGCCTTTCTCCAGGGCTCAAGCTCTTGCTCTAATGGGATCTAGCCTTGAATGTGTTTTATGTTTGGCTTCTGCTCTCATAGCTCAAGGCAGCGTGTGATGATCCTGGGGTAAATCTAATCCAGATTTTTCAAAGACCAGCCATACTACCTGCCCTGTGCACATAAAACACTCATGGTATAAGAGCTTATGCGCAACAGACATGGAAACACGCAAACCCGCATAGACCAGCTCACAGCAAAGAAGGAGAGAAGAGGACGTTTAGGCTCATTGAGGACAATCATAACATAAGGGTGCACTGAGAAATCAAGCTGACCTTTTTTTTAAAGACAAGTCAGAGAGCTGAGCACACACACCAACCTGGTTCTAACCCCGGGACAAGAAAGCCAAGCTCTTTCTGTGTTATTGCAAACTTATTAGGAATTCAACTCTGGATCTCATCCGTGTAAAATGAGGAGAAAAAACATTTACTGCAAATATAGCTGACAAAGAAATGCTATTAAGTTGTAGGGTACATTATGTCTTCTCATCTATGTATGCATATGTGTGTGTGTGTGTGTGTGTGTGTGTGTGTTTGAGAAGGAATGCCTGTACACGTGGCAAGATATTTTGCGCGACTCATTTCTTTTCTCCCTTTCTCTTGTTAGAGCTCTTACCCCGTGTGGGAAGATTTCAGTGCCAAGGCCACAAAACTGCATTCTCAACTCAGGTGAGAAGTACTTCCTAAACCTTGATGGGGGGGGGGGGGATCTTGTGCAGTATTTACACACTCTTTATGCAGTCACAGTGCAGTGAATATATATGCCAATATATTTACAGGACCACAATTCTGGCAGCTGTGGCCTTTTTAGATGCCTTTCAGAAAGTGGCGGACATGGCTACCAACTCTAGAGGTAAGGTGGAGTTTTTTTCTTCAATTAATTCAAGCTCTCACACTGTGGAGTTCGTACTCTGAAAGGAATAAAAGCAGAAAGATCACCTTCTCTCGCTTTTGAACAAATCGATATGTTGTCTTCATGGGGTGTTGCACGCTGATTTTTTTGTTTCTTGCTAAGAATGTTCAAAAGAGGGGAAAAAAAGCAATGGTGCAAGTGTAACTCTGCGTTTTGTTAGACTCTGAGCAAATTTTTAACCCAGAGAAAATAGCATGGATAACTGAAACTTATTTATTTATCATTTACCTTTTAGAAATGAATTTGCTGCTAAATATAGGAAAATTAGCAGTGGTCTGGCCCTGCGGTCCCCCCTGAGACCCAAGTGTGCCTCACTAAGATGGCCAAAGTTGGGGACAAGCGAAAGTCTGAGCTTATTGTTTCTTCGGACTTAATGAAGTCTGTTGATCTGTTTTTTTTTTTCACCCTGATAGTGGCGAGCATGCAAAGGCTCCTGATATGCACAAACAAAAGCACAGAAACACACACACACACACATATCCAAAGAGTGACAGCTGGTAGCCGGCCACCTGACCTTGCAGGTCAAATGCCAACAGGCTTTTAAACAGTTTGTACAAGTACAGCCCCTTACTGACCACTTATACTGGAGATAATAACTGAAGAGGAATTTGTTCAGCGGTGTTCACACATTCTAACCGGTTTCACTCCTATAGCCTGTCCAGTAGAGTTTATTGCTGCAATACATCAAGTTACCTTAAATGATTCCTGATGTGAGTGCACGAGTTCTGCAAGATGAAGCAAGGTAGGCTAGGGTCAACCTGCTAGCTGCAAGCAGCTGGCAGCTTGCATCTGTGAAGTAGAAGTACAGAGCATGGCATGGCAGGACATCAAAAGACAAGTGTGTCTACAGTAAAAGAAGTGAAAACAGAAGAATGATAGACGGGCCAGAGAGAGATGAGAGCGAGAGAAGGGAGTATTGAGTTTTACAGCTATAGATGCATAAAATCCCTGTAAGTGTGTCACCCATACGCCCACTCTCTCTTCTGTTCCTCTCCCAGGGACATTAACTTTAGGATTAATGTCATCCTTCTCGGGCCACAGACTGCATGAGGGCTGCAGAGAACACTATGTGATGAGAGACTTTGTAGCAATTATAGAGAATCAAATGAAACGCGGTTTAGACTACGGCTGATGAATTGATGTACAGACAGTTAAGACAACCATTTGATTTGGACATGCTAGTGGTGTGGCTCTGTGGACGGCAATGTTGCTTTATTGGTTGGTTTTGGTTTATGACCAAAATCCTGCAAAACTGTGAATCAATCAACTTGCTATAATAACGTTGGCATTTAGGTCAAGACACGGCTGTACTCGTAGTTGCTTTCGCTCTTCTTGCATTCCAACTATTATTTTATGGAAGCGATTGTGCGTCTTTTATGTGGTCTTTACCAGTGCACCACTTCAATCCCACTTCTCCTCTGGGAGCTGTGTTAGTATTTGCGTGCTCCTATACCCAGCACTTAATTTGGCAGGAGGAATGTCGATATTTATTGGAGCTGGCTCGTAGCGGACTTGGATAACCTTTGCACCCGAGGCTGCAGACTCAATGGACATAGCTTAGGCAAGTGTGTCTTTCTGGCAGCAGCAATGTTAAAAGTAATTAACCTAAAATACATTGGCATCCAGATGTTGCAGTCTTTCCACTTGCTACACTGACTAGACTCTTCAGGAAACAGCGGTAGATAAATAGAATTCAGAGAATACTTACTCACCATTTTGCAAGTCTCTATTTCTGTCTCTGTTGCTCTTTCTCTCCCTGTCCTTCTAACTTCATGTGTGTGTAGGTCTGTCTGCCTGCAGCGATCATGTTTGTCTCAGCGTCTGCACCAGCACATAGGGCTGATTGCACCGCAGGAGGCAGGCCCTCGGCTGTGAACTGCTGGCCGTTGTTACTGTCACCCCGATTCCCCTCTGGTGTTGGGGGGACGAGCTGCAGCTGCTGGCACAGCTGGAGGTTTCATCACGTTCTTCTTCTGCTTCCTTTAATCTACCTTTGACACAGTCACCCCGTCACCCCTTTTACTCACGCACACACACGCGTGCACACACACACACACACACACACTCTCCAGACTATACACATTTCCCTGCCAAGGAAAGTGACATTTCCCCTCATTCAGTGCTTCTTGATTGATCCAGGGAGAGACGACGGTTCGTGGGTCAAACTGCCTTGGTCTGCGTTCATGTTCAGGCTTCCTCTTGCCCGTGTTGTCTACTTTTAGAGTTTATGATCACGGTCATGGCGTCAGTGTCTGCATTTTCTGAAGCAGCTGGAGGAGTGTGGCTGCCAGGCGTTTTGGCACTGTGTCTGATAGTGCTGTTTCCCTAAGCTGCGTTGATGGATCCATGTCTAAAGGCACGTATGTCTTGTTGAACTGGCAGCTCACATCTGGGTTCCATAAAGGTCCCCCAACCACAAAGTTTATATTGGATGAATGTATTTGGAGATTTTTTTCCATTAAAAGACAAATGTTTCATGTTTCAACACCCATCTTTTTGTGACACAGTTTGAGGCCCTGCAGCTCTCTAGAGTGTTTTATTGTTAAATTGGTCATCCTAATGGGTTTTGGTGTGTTGTCCAGACTATTTTTGGCATTCATACTAAATTGTTGTTGTATTGTTTGTTTGTTTTTCAGAGTGGCGGACCTATGTGGAGAATAGTAGGCTCTGTGTTTGGTGTTTTGTTGTTGCTAGGCTGGATAACGTGTTTTAGTAGAAGGTTTACTTAATTTTTTTCCCATTTTGGACATGGTTGAATTAGATGGAGGTCAAAGAGCAGGGCTAACGGTCCATCAGGGTATGAGATACAGGCTCCATATTTTTTGGAGATAAGTTAGTAGTGTGGGGGGTGGGTTGGCCAGGGTGGGGGTTGCGGTGGCAGTGGGATTTCCACAGCTCTGGGTATCCAGGCTACGCGTTTATCTAATCCTCTTAGCCCCACTCTGTAACACACAGACACAGACTGCCTTCTCTTCCCTTCCTGATCAGCCACCCCCAGCTTTAGAAATTCACACTCTGGGATCACTGGCCAGACTGCAATGCACTGCAAGTTTGTGTTCAACACTGATGAAACCTTTCCCCTTTACATCTGTGTGCCAGATTCTGTAGTGTGGTGCACACACCATTACACATACACACAGACATCATGTTCCAGTGGGTCATTGCAAGCTCTCTCTGCATCTCTTTCTCTTACTCACACAGTCCATACTCAGTGGAGGAATGGAGGTATGCTAGTAGATCAGTGTCTCAGCGAAGCAGTAATCTGCTTGGCCCCTGTGCTTCTCTGGCTTGGCAGATGGGACGGATATCCCTACCCGCCATCTGGACAGCCTGGCATGGACGAGATGCGGCCGTGGCCTAGTGCAGGGCAAGATCAGGGGATTACAGTCCTCCGCGCTATTCCAGCCGTGCAGCTATTTTTACGGACATGTCAAATAATGAGAGTGTGCCTATGTAACCAGCACGGACATCCATTAAGCTTGGCATGTCATGTTCAAGCCTGATATGAGCCTGTATTGTACTTAGTCTGCACGGACAGGGAGGTTAGATCTGCATCTTAAACGTCGGGTTGACTTCATAAAATGAGTTTATGGATTATGACTGGACAATACATTTACATGCAGTCTCTTTAATGAATGCACTAGCTGACGGATTGTGGGCTGCTGTCATTCTGCTGGCTGTATGCAGGCTCTTCAGGTATTTCATGCCCCCCCCAGCAGTAAAGTAACACAAAAAACTCTTATT